GGCAGCGCTTCTCGTGAACGTTTCACGACTTTTCAGGAAAAAGTGCAATCGACCGCTGCCGTTTCCATTCTTGGCACCTTTTTTTCCACGTCCTATTTATTCGAAGTGGACCCCGTAAGAACATTTCACCCGTTTAGCACTTTGCCCGCGTTGCTTGAAAAGAAGCTGAAAGGTCTGGAGTGCGCGTCTGTCTTCGCGATAAAATAAAACAAAACCCGTTTAACAGCTGTTACGGATGCAACAGATAATCCGCGGTGTGGACCAGACCTGCGAGGAGCAATAAAGTATTTAGTTTTGCTCCTGTGGCCGAGGACCTGTCTTGCCCAATGCTGATTTAATTGCTCTTCCCTGTGGCATTCTCAACCCTGCTCTGATTTTGATATTGTCAGCGAATATATAAGGGAAACACGAGTGGTTAATCCACTCGTGGGTCTGCCGTGTGCAGGTCGTGAGGTCTGTTGGGCTATTGCAACTTACACTTTCTATCATTGCATTTTCACCGAATCCTCACCGTTTCAAAGGCTTCGCTCAAATTACTGCTTTAACAAAACCCACTCTTTGGTGCAATCTTCATTATAAGCAGAAAAGAAATCCAGGCTTCATAGGATCACACACACACACACACACACACACACACACCTGATGAGAATGTGTCGGTGTACATGAGATTTTACTGCAATTTAATGGTTAAATGAGATCAGAGAGAAAATAACAATTTACACCAACTGGAGAAATCTAGGCTGTGTAATTTCACCTGTGAGTGTAAGAACTTTAGCCCACCTTTTTTTTAAAAAAAGGGTGTTTTTTGGTGCTTGCATTCTTCAAATTAAGAGGTGTCGTAAAGGAAACGAGTGGAGCACTAAAATGATCATTTCTAATCTCTTTTCAATTGGTGGCCAGTTTCTTTCTGGATCAGGATCACCCAAAGCTTCAGGACTTGATGGTAGATGCGAAATTAAACCTCTACTTGACAAACCCGAACAAAGCGAAATAGGAAATGATAAATAGCTGGCACCACAGCTGACAGATAAGCCACAGGAAAAACAAACACTGCTAACAGTTGCACTCTCTTCCCGAGCTTGCACAATCCTTTGCTTAAGTCCACTGCATTTGGCAGCTTCCCCAGCCAGACTCGGGGAATTGATAACACTTTGTTCCCCTTTTCTTTTTGAGAAGTATACAAGCCTTTGGATTTGATTTTATTGAGTGTTACAACAAAATTCAGAGTAAGAAACTTAGTGAATGCTTGAGGGATTTAAGTTCCATTTAAATAAGAAACCATGTTACAGCACCAGCACGATTGAGAATTACATGCCCCCTGGGCTGGCTTTTATTGACGTCCTCCCCATTAACTCGAAGACCAGTACGACTGGGGTATCAAGCGTAGTTGCATTACTATAATATTACCATAATAATAAAATATATATTTTAGACAATCCTGATCTATAAAATGTAAGATTGCTTATTTTCTCTTCTCTTTCTGCCCTTACTCACCGTTTCATTTTCTAGTTTATTGATTTTAATTTGCATTCTGTGTATTTCTTTTACTCAAATTCACCTCTTTGCCTTGGCTTTCACTGATTCCCCTGTCTGCTCTCACATCTAGAACCACCATCCAAAATGTGTCGTCCATCAGTGATTAGCTCCTGGGAGAAGGAAAAGATTCAAATCTGTGTTTTTTTGTAAGTCAATTGGGAGATGGATTATTAAAGTTTGACCTGATTTCACGATCAGAGCATCGGGTCATATGTTTGACCTGGTGTTTTAGCTGTTTCTGTTGGCTTTAGGGAGTGAGATAACTGGATTGCAGCCTAGTTAAGCGGATGTACTGAAGTCAGTCACTGCAGTGTCAGAGGTGGGGGGGTTAATCAGAGTCTACAGGATATATTTTTTCAGAGGTATTGATACTGATCTGTCACATATCTTTGTAAAGTGAATGTGCAATTTAATTACTCAAAGCAATTCTCAGGTGTAGGCAGATCCCAGTTTGACGACTGATCTTTAATTTTTCACATATAATAAACTACTGGTCTCAGTAATCTGGAAGAGGTGAAGGGGTGGGAGGGGGTCGGAGCACTGTAAGTCATTCCATTCTTTATTATACCGAGCTGTAAATGGAGAAATATAGTATTTCTCAACCATTGAGTGATGGCAGTGAATGCTGCAAGCTGTCCTTGAGAAACTATGTGAATGTGAAACAGAGTGTAACGCTTGCTTCAGAGATATTGCAGCTAGGATTCACATTCACGGTTATTTTCATGCCCTGTAATGTATTTTTCTTGAATGCTCAGAAGTGAGAACTGTCAGCAAGATGTCTGCTGAGAATTGTGGCTTTATTGAGCTTTGAAAGAGCAGAGACACTATCTCTGACTGTTTGCCTTTCAACTGTGATATGTCTGCATGATTTTGCAAAGGTTAAGCTGAACTTTGGGTCTTTGGGTGGTATATTTGTTTTCAAATGAGTTTGTGTAGGTTAGCAAATAAAAACAGAATGTGCCTTTCACACCAGGTTAGATAGCTCTTCATCAAAGGAAAACTCAACGGGTTTCAAGGAGATGGTATTTAATGCACAAAATACTCGTCTATTATTGTCCCAAGTTCCCAGCATTATCATTTCATCTGCGCAGAAAACACAGGTTTCAAAGTAAATGATCTCTGCTCATTAACTGCTTTACATTGCTGAGATGATCAGCATGACTTCTTCCTGGTCACCAAATGATGATATGACACATCTGGGCATTGCTGGTTAAAACACTCAGGGAAATGAGACACCTCAACAATGGCGAGCTTTTTTAACATCACCATCTCTATTTTACAAAAGCAGCTTTTGGCAGCATTTTAAACAGAAATGCGGTTTTCTTTGTGTTCAGAGTCATTCTGCACTCTGCCGACAGACTAAAAAAAAAGGAACTGAAAACTCTGAGCTCTACGAATTCCATCCACGTTCACTGGCAGCACACGTTTGCCAAACCAAATGTGTTTATTTTCCAGGCTCTTGCAGAAGAGATTACTGGTGCTGTTAATTCTGCACCTCTTTTGTACTCTTGGGAAGAAGCCACAGCAACCAGGAGAGTTGTTAAACTTATTTGCTGTGCCTGTTTTGTTGGAGGTAACAGGAGGCACCAATTACCCTGAGGTTGGCCAAAGAACCACTGAGCAGCACTGTTCTCCATTCATAGATTTGAGAGGCAACTAAAATGCATTCCTAACATCACAGAGTTCTTCACCTTTACCACTGCACTATTAAACTTCGTGACTCCCTTTCTCTTTTGGTGCGTAAGAGTGGCTGATCGTCCCACTCTCGAAACGTATCCGGACTTTGTTTGGCATCTAACTCCATTGACCCAGCCAGGATTAGAACCTCTCCCCAAGTGGGAATGTGTGAGAATGAGACCTGCCTGGAGCAAGTGTGGTGTCACACCAGCCTTGTGGTGCCAGTGGGCCGACGACTCAACCGTGAAGTCAGTCTTCAAGATCACACTTTGGATCTGGACACGTTTGAGGCTATTTTGTATTTGGATTTACATCACAACACTAAACACGAGTGCCGGACAATACAAACTATATCTGCGTCAATTTTTTGTGTCTTAAATTCTATAATGTTGGAACCTCAGCATAAACTGACCTGCTGGTCCCAAGTGCTTGTCTGGCAGGTGTACTATTGTCCTGGCATAAGCTCTTCTGTTTACTGAAAGCAAGGGATAGAGATATTACATCCATATCAGGTCTTACTGCTTTCAAGAGGTAGTTGTGTTAAGAACATATTTAGGAATAGTTGTTTGAATCAATGGCATTTGAAACAAAAATCAATTTAGGTTTGCTATGCACTTATTTTTCTCTATATGTTAAACCTGAGGCTTATCATCATTTCAGTACCAAATCAGTTGGGGCTAATTGGGTAAGTTTCATTTTTTTCTCCCGCAGCACTTGGAAAGAGCCGATGCAATTTGAACTTTTTAAAATGACATTGCACTAAACAATGATACCAATCGAGTGGTATTGCATGCAGTGTGAGGCGGACCCTGAAGACGATTGAGTTGTGTGTGTAGTTTGTCTCAGGTTCAGGAGGAGAGCTCGGGCGACATGCACATGACACTGCCCATATTGCCAGACTTTTCGTCTCATTTGGTTCCATTGCAAATAATAAAAATCACTTCCTTCTGGAAAGTGATTTCAGAGATCTGCCCTACGGTGCTGATCGTGTAAGAAACAGGAGCTGTATAAATAAATCATTATTTCGGTGGAGACTCTATGATGTTTAAACCCCCCCCCCCCCCCTCACCTTTTTTTTTGCTGTAAAAACACCAATGCTGCTTCAGTGCAGTTGCTTTTTTTTATTTCAGACACAAATAAATGTTGCCTTGAAGATATTTATTTTCATCCCCTGCCCACAAAGCGATGGCACACAGTTACTTAACTGTTGCACGAAAACGACTGGGAGGTTCTCTGCAGTGTCTCTGAAAACTGTGGGATGAGCGACATTGAAAGTTGCAAAGAAAGATGAGCAAATTTAACGTCAATTGGAACTGCACCGAAGTTGGGATATTTGCGTTTTTTTGGGGGGGGGATCTAAAATACTGATAGCAAAAGGAAAGGTATCCAAAACAAAACAAGACGCAGCCCCCCAATGGAACAAAATCTGCGACAGTGGGTGGGGGGCTGAAGGGAGAGTGCATTAATCACACACCACAAAATAATACAGTCATTCTCTCAATGTGTGGTTTCATTCATTCTGATCAAAGGTGTGAATGACGCCAAACATCTTATTTTTTTTGTGTGCCCCCCCCCCCCAAAAAAAAAAGCAGTCCCATTTGCAACAACCGGTGAGATAATGAATGAAAAACGTGCTGCGTATTTCCATACAGATTGTCTTTATTTTTGGGGGGTGTGTGGGGGGGGGGGGGGGGGTGTGGGAGGGGTTGCTGTTGCTGATCTCCCTGGTGTGGTATGAACAGAGTGCTGCAGCAGCTCCTCTTCTAAACCATTCCGGATCTGGCAGACCCCGCTACTCCAGTCCACGCTTTGCATTCACTCCTCGCTCTGGCAACTGTGCTAGAGATTAATTCAAATATATCTATTCAAGTGGAGATAATCAATGCAAATCACTGTGACTAGGCTGCACAAATGGGGTATGTTTGATTCACAAAGAGGCCTTAGCTTCAGGAGGTCAGTCGTTCACCAGTCCTCCCATTCTGTTTCTTCTATTGCAGGACGGCAGGTCACACAGTGACTGAACGCTGAATTTCCTACACTTCCACTGGGTCGCCTTTCCTTTCAGCTTTCCTTTTGAGGATCTAGATTCCTGCTTGCTGTCTTTTAAAGGTAGGTCCAGTGCTTCTGACGTCTATCTATTCATTAGAGATTCAACTTCATTACAGTTTGTTTCTATAAATGTTCTTCTCTGGCAGTGCTGGACAGGCTCTGTTGAGATGTGAAAAATGGAGAGAAAAAAAACTGTCTGGTTTCCAAGTATGTCTTTTCCAACTCTTGTTTCCCCCCCCCCCTATTCCGGGAGCTTACATGTAATTATGAAGTTAACTTAAATAAAAAGGTGTTCTGTTAAGCACTGGGATCTGCTAAGGCAGAACACTGAAGACCGTTCTTTCATATATATGGTAATTACATGGCAATCCAGCTGCTACCTGCTAATCATTACTTATGGCATTAAAGAATGATTAGCTCTGTATACTTTACAAGTTTTTAATATTGTAATTAAGAATGAAACTCTCTTCGCCGAGGGACCAGTGAGCGATGTTAATACCAAAGGAGCGTGTTTGAGAAACAATATAAAAACAGAATAAATGTTGCTGGATTTTCTTTATAGTTAGTCCAGCGCAGCGGTACAGCTACGGGCAGTTAAAGTGTTTACATTTCATAGGTGACGAATGATGTTAAACAGGGCAAGGGTAAAACCTTCAGCATCAAGTAGAAGTATTAGACATTATTACTTTTCTTTAAACTCCGCTGAATGATTGCCCATTGAAACCTTTCAAAGACTCGTAAAATTTCTATCCTGTCATACTTAAATGTCTATCACATCATACGAGATTGTGCTTGGTTTTTATATATACCTACACGACTTTTAAGATGTGGAGCACAAGATTACGTCTCCCTTTGTTGTTTGTTGCCTTCTTTGAACAAAATGAAACCTCTGCAGTTTTTACATTTTGATTTTGGTGCAGAAGTAATGTGTCAGTCTTCAGTCACTTTCTTAAGTAGTTTAAACACATCTGCAGTTATGTGGCCATTAAAAAAATGTGTGCAAGTGCTGAACATGGCAGTGGATTGTTCCATCGTCCGCAGTACACTCCATAGTAGTGTACAGAGAATGTAGATATACTATTTCTGTTTCTCTATGGGCTAACGAGCCTATTAGTATGCAGAGAATAAGAATGCTACATCAAAGGTGGTTGAAAATGAAACGAGTCTTGTGGTGTTTTGCATGAAAGCGGCCTACCTCAGTATGGAAATAATTTTGATTGCTTTCATGTTTTAATATCTGGAAGGATTCTTTTTAATATAAAACCACTAAAGAGTCTCTTGACCTTTGACAGGTTCATTGAGATGTTTACAGTTCAGTTATTTCAATTGGATACCATGCAAAACAAATAATCGTTAAAATATGGATGTAATATGCTCGAATCTGGTATACGTTACTATAATTGTTACCAGCGAGGCCCATGGATACTTTCGGCTGCCGTTCTCAGTAACTGAGTCTAGAGAGGGCTGGCTATTCTTCAAGCACCATTTACTGATGATGTAACCACCTTTACGTCATGATGTCTGAATAGTGTTACAAGCAGAAGGTTCTGATTTGTGAGACACAGATGCTTCACAACCAAGCAACCCCTTCAAGTTATTGCTGCACGTGCAAGAAGAATATTTCAGCAATAAAGTGGTTAAGGTTTTTCGCAGCACTGGCGTCCAAATGCAGCAGAATGACTGAAGTTTCCTCTCTAAGCATTGGGTGGAACATATGTGGAGCAGATAAATGTTCCTGATTCCAGAACTTTCTTCACAATCTCAGTAGTTGAAACGGAGAGTGTGAGAGTGGGAGGGGAGAGCTTGAAATAATCTTGACAGAACTTCACATTTAATTATAGTGCCTCTTACCCCACCCCAGAATGCAGTAACTCATGTTGGCTACAGTTCCACATATGCTGATGATTCTCTATTCCCTTTACCCAAGTGAACTTTCGGAATGTGGACAGTGAGTGCCATTGACTATAAGGTAGACCGAGCCAAGCTCAATACAATCCTTGCCTGATCTCCCAACAATGACTACTGGATCATGATCAAGTACCCTAAATCATGTTCTCCTCCCACGTAGACTCTCACAGTTATGGCTCAGATTAACTAACTCAGAAAAGGTCCAGAATCAAACCCTGTTTCGATACCTCTTCACATTTCATCCACTAAGATTTAATAATGTAAGTTATTGGGGAGCAAATACACCTGCCTGTTTGATTTAAAATAGATAATAGTCAGTGAAGCCACTGCCAGTTCAGTGTGAAACTGAACCACAGAAAGCAGCAAAGCCCCAGGTCTGTGCCCATTTAGCTGTGCCCAGCTCAGCTGGAAGTGCAAGGGGGGCACTGTGCTTGGCTTCAGCATCCCTGAATCAGCCAGAATTCCCACTCCTGATCTCCGTCCAGTGTCCCTCTGCTGGAATGTGTGAGCGGGTGAATGGGGTTATTCTGCTTCCCTGTCTGCAAGCAGCAAACCTCTTGATTGTGTCATTGTGTCGAGCAGTAGTTTGATGGTAATCCTGTTGCTTTCCCCCTCTCTTCAAAACACTCTTTAGCATTAATCTACAAATTATTAAGTAGTTGATTTCTAACAGAAATTAAATGAAGGTGTTCTGTTATGTGGTCTCTGCATTGTGTCTAAGACAGTAATGGGATCTATGTGAGGGTTGCAGAAGTGAGAATCCTGAGGTTAGATAATTTAAGTGGGAAGAACGGCCATCGATAGTTAAAAATCCAAAGTGGATACAAACCAATTTAGTTTAATAGCATAGTTCATGTCTTGCAGGGGAATCTTGTAGGGGCAGATGGATTTTTTTTCTTAGTAAGTAAACATTGAAAATTCACATTGTCGTTGATTTTGTACTGTGACTTTTGGCAGTTTGGGGCCTCCATATCAATCCATAATCACCCCCAAGGTAACACATTGTGTCTCGGGGCAATTTCGGCCTTGGAGTTCACTAATGTGAAGGATGTCATTGCTCAGACCCACCATGCTCACACTGTCCTGTCCGCCTGTTGCTGGCTGATGAGAAGTAGATAAGAGTTCAGCTGCCACTCATTCATTCTATTTATGTCTGCCTGGAATCCAACACCTCTGGCAGTAAATTGCTGAGAGGATATAGAGGCCAGCCCTGTCTGTGGAGAAATTGGAAGCAAGCAGTAGTTTGATGATAATCCTGTTGATTTCCGCACCCCCCTCCCCGTTAGCGGTGGTTAGGGTTAATCTACATATTTATAAGACAGTTGATTTCTAACAGAAAATTAAATGAAGGTGTTGAGTTATGGCCTCTGCATTGTGGGGGAAGGAGAGTGTCAGCTTTCAAGCATCCTGTGGTGACATTCTCATGCTGAAGGCTTTTGATTTCTTTACTGAAAGTGCTATCTTGCACAGGGGTGATAACTAACACAACACCGCTCAGTGTGGGGATGCTGCTGGCATAGTAACATGCCTAGACTACATCTGCCTGTTGCCAAAATGCCACTCTCCCTGTTCCACATTTTCCCCACCCTTTTCTTACACACAATAATACAAGTCTCTCAAGACTGCGATAGGAATTGAAACAGAGTAAAAACTGTAATGAATAAAGAAAGTGGTGTGTGTTCTCAAATCAATCATTACTAAAATGTTATGTGATACTGTTGGAGGGAGTCATCTTCTTTGAGTGAAATGAGTAACAACAGGGTCTGAACAGAAAAGGAACTGTTATACTGTTTATATCTGTTTATTTTCGTTGTCTTTAATCATGTCCCATAATTTTCCGCTCAGTGTTAGAGAAGGCTGATTGCAAGGAAAGTGCACCGTGTCTGAAGACTGACCTAAATCTGAACTATTCTGACTGAAGCCTATTTGGAATTTTCCTTCAGTGGGATCTGAAATCCAATTTGAATGCTTCATACTAGCTGGTTACCTTAAAAAAGGATTCAACAGTCAAATGGGGGCTGAATCTGTAGCTGGTGTAACAGGAAACACTCGCCTTCTCAAGCATCATCCACTACGGTTTGATTTGATATTTGTTACTGTCAAATCTTCCAGGAGGCAGAGATTGAATCAAGCACCCCATAGAGATATCGAAAACGCCATTTGAAAGCTCTTTGTCACTTGTAATGGCTTTTGTTCACATTTTGTAAATATCATTTCATTTTGATCTGTGGAATTAGCAATCATTTGAGCACAATCGTTGTCAGATCTCAAATGTCACTGTGACCTACATTGATTATATTCTTGTGTGGTGGGGGGTGGGGTGATTCCTCTTTTTGAGATGTCTGAAAGTCACGTGAAGTAAACGTCTTGGTATCTGTGAATAGGAACTGGATATATTTACACTGTGTCTCACTATTTTCGTCTCAGAGCAAATTTCTTTCAGACCCCCTCTCTTCAGCCGTTTCGATGGCCAGCACGAAGGTAAAGTGTAACTTGACGTTTTTACAGCCTTCAAGTAGCAGCCAGACCTTGTGTGTGTTCTCTGGTGAGCTGCTGAACTACCCACTAATACATAGGCATAGAGAAAAATAATCCTGGCATTTGATATAGCGCCTTTCACTTCAGGAAGATGCCTCAAAGCGCTTCACAGGATTGACTGTTAAGTGTAGCACTGTATTCTGTAGGCAAATGTGTAAGGGAATGATATATAGGTGCTTCACATTTCAGAATTCTTGTGCAAGAGTCGCTCAGAGAAATGTGATTTCTCCCACTCTTGTTTCTGTGTCCCACTGCTTCTCGTCTTCTTCGATCGGCTGGCTATTTTGAAGAAGGCTATCTCATTCATTGTTAATGAACTTATCTATTGCAAAGTTAACTCTCCGCTACAACCAAATCACTGTTGAAAGCAAACCCAGTGATACACTAAACATGGCTGACTCCATGCCAAGCATTTCCTGCACAGGTTTTCTATCCTCTACTAGATTATAGTTGGAACAGCACTAGGCTGAACCTGACTTGCTGAATCCTGCATTATGCTATGAAAAATCTGTAACTTGCCAAATATTATCTTGCCAAGTTGTTCTGTGCTCTCACCAAAAGCTAGGATCAAGGCCATGATACATCTGTCCTTTCCCAGTTACCCTCATGTCATT